CACACAAGGCTGGATTATGAGTGCTTGTGTTAACTGAAAGAAATTAAGTCCTTCTATCAGTTGGGAACGAAGAAACCCCCTTCTGATAAAGCTGCCATGACCCTGTATTGCGTGCCGCAAATTCTCTGTGTTACGCTTTCAGGGACTTGTCCTCTGCATGCTCACAGCTGTGCCTCCACAATCTAATATGGAAATACAGAAATATAGGAACAGCTGATTTTCAGGAATCATCTTAACTTCTTGTATCCAGACAGTAAAGCGGAAATCCAGACTTTACAGGAACCAAAGGCAAACTGCAGATGGGTTCATCGTCTGAGACTGGGAGTTTGGTGTTGAGTTTCAGAAACCACAGCTTCGTGCTTTTCCTCCTTTGCCTTGCAGAATCCAAGAGGATGCATGTGCTATTCCTGCCTCTTCTGTACAATTTCTGTTCTCTTTGCTGTACACCTGAAGTTCATCCAGCTGATGCTATTTATGCCCCGATTGCTATTTTGTGCCTTGCGTTGTGTTTTCCAAAGCAGACTTTTGGAAAAAGAATGCAAATAGCTGTTCTGAGTATTTTATGCTCTAAAAGTGAGTACAGTCAGTGGCTGCCAAGATGTAACAAATCAAACTGAAGTACTGTCTTAATTGTTTCAGCTTGGAGGGGGACTGCTGTAGAAAAAGGCAGCAACAAAATCTAAACTGCATTTGAAATCCTGTGAAGGTTCATATCAACAGGGTTGAGAGCAGAAATTAATGGAGTGTGATGTTTGCTGCAACAGTTACAGTAAATGAGGAGATTTCACAACAAAAACTGAAAGGGGGTGAACAAACACACATGGTGCTGAGTGCTTGATATTGTATACAAGCCCAAAGGCCTTGAACATCAGAGGGAGAGATGGCTCAACATCTAGTATCTATGTGAAAGTAAAAAATCCCATATGTGCTGAAGGTCACAGTGACCTGGAATGCTGTGCTCTCATGGCTGTGAAACAGCATGGGCTACTTACTTTGTGAACAAGTATCCAGGACTGGAAGAAATAATAATGAAGAGAAATCTGGCTTGTTCCTCTAAGGCATTGCAAGTGCTTTCACTTCAGCTGTGCTGGATGTGTGCCACTGAGAGAGCACTGTCTTGTGCCTTTCTTCTCTCCTCTACACTTGTTTCTGGGAGAAGAGGGTGAATTTACCTTTGCATGTTTTCTCTCCTCAGGAGGGTGGAAGATCACTGTGACACTTGTGTCTCATTCTTGACTGTGTGCTGTCATGAGTTCTTAAATGGGTAGAATTGCTTTTGTGGTAAAAGTCATGATGGTCTTCCTCCCTTTTTTCAATCTCTTTGAACACTCTGTGTTCAACTCTGTCCTCAAGAGCAGTGTTAGAGATTAATATGAAAAACCCCTTACATACTGGCCAGGTACTTTGATCTCAAGGCAGAAAGATAGACATAGTCCATGCAGGAAGCCAGAGTGGTACTGTGTTACTGGTTGTATTCTTCACACTCACCAAAGTCCTTCTGGTTTCAGCAGGAGTTCTGGGCACATATCTGAGTCAGGACTTGCTTATCTAAATGTTGGGGTCTTTACCATTTCTTCATGTATGAAAATTAAAATCACAAAGCTATGGTTTAGTAAGATTAAGCAACAGCTGCCTCCTTAAGTTTGGATTCTGTGGTTTCCCCAGTGGTTAATTTTTTGTTTGTTTTTCTTAAGTTCTTTGGAGGGCAGTGGACTTTGAGAGCTGTTACACCTCTGTGCCAGTGCAAATGAAGTCACTGGGTGTGTGAGAACCTTGCCCTATTCATTTCATGAGAGAGCATCCCACTCCCCTGTTCTCCTTGGTTTCCAAATGCTTTCAAAATAGCCCAAAGCAAAATAACCAGACTGTGCTGGGTCTCCATATAGCCAGCATAACTGAGAAGCAGGAAGAGATTAACTGGGGGGAGGCATGAACTTGCATGAGTGGCAATAGCTAGTGTGTAGCTGCTCCTTGTGAAGAAGAGTCCCAACTAAAGTGAATGCAACCAAACAAAATGTTTCCTGGCACAAGCGAATGAATGTATGCTTTTGTATGTGATTATATCAGTTATGTTTAACTGGATAGCTAGATGTTTATCAATGTCTCTGTAGGTTTTCTGCCTTATGTTGTACAAGCATCTCTTAAATTTCCCAAAGACCTTTCTCTAATTTCTGATCTGAAGCCAGGTGATGGTTGAAATTGAGGACTTGAATGTTTTCAGTGGTTTTTGTCACCTTTACTCCTTATGCTTCTCAGTTACTGTTGTGTACTGAATCTTTCAGATCATAAAGAATCTCAAAATGAACAAAGAAATAAAATAGAAAACTGAGGTCATGCTCTGTGCAGAGGAATTTTCCAAAAACCTTCAAAACATTCTTGTCCTTTCACCTACGATTTGTTTGTTAGAAGCCTTCTCTAATGTAAATACAAGTGTTAATTCTTAGCAGATTAGAGTCAGAAGCAGTTCAGAGAGAGGGTGAATGGTCCTACATAAGGCACATTTCCATAGTTGGAAAAGTAAGCACTGACTCTTCATTGAAGAAACAGAAACGCGTGTTTTGATTTGTCAGTGAATTTCTTCTAAATACTGCTAATCAAATTTAGAGGTTCTTGATTTAGTTTTCAATGGCATCCAAAATGTATTATGTTGGTAGCTGGTTTAAATCCCAAATAGAAGCAAGTGCGTCAAACGCAGCTGATCTCACACTCTGTAACTAAATCTAACACTTGACACTGAAAGCAAAGATAACTTTTAACTTATTTTGTTTTTAAAAGTAGTAGATCCAACAGATAGTTCTATTTGGGAAAAAAAAAAAAAAGGAAAAAAAATCATTTTCAAATCAAACACACCTACATTTTCCATGCCACGTCAAAGGAAATATGTAAGGCAATATGAAGTATTAATTTTATTGTATAGAAATATATATCGGTAAAATAACTTTGTAACCTGTCTTAGCCACAGGAAAGAGACCTGAGGACTCAGGCTCTCATATTAGCCGCTGAAAAATCTTTGCTCTTTAAATGCAATTTCTTATTATTACTATGATGAGGGTTACCTGTTTCACTTGTTTCCAGTCACTCATAGCTTTCTGAAAATCAGTCTGGAGATTGAAAAGAAATGCCTATCCCAAAACTCCAAGACTCCCACAATACAAGCCTTACAGTAGATGCTAAATTTAGTGTGAACTGTCATTACAGATATCACTGAGGTTTTCTGTTGCTTGTCATCTTTCAAGATCAGAAACCAATTTGCCTTAGTGATCTTTGTTGTGTGCTTGGAGGGTAATTGCAATGATCCAGACATGACTTCTGGGAAAGTTCTTGCCATTGCTAAAGTTGAGCACACAAGGGCAGATGGCCACCTTCTGAGCGCCGTATTTACTACTATTGATAAAACCAGAAAACTCTTGCTGTTCTGGGTTCAGGGAACACCTGAGAATCTTGGCGCTTCATGATGTGGGGATCTGCTATGGAAATTAAATAGAATTTGATTTAAAGCAAGCTAAACCTTGAAGATGTATAAAAGGATGATGTAATGCAATCTTCTGGACTTATATTTGTATGTTTTCAACAGTGAAGACTGTAAGGTATCAAGGCAGAGTGTAGCATTTTACTAAGCTTATTGCAGTTAATAACTGGGCAGAGCATTACTTCAATTTGATATCCAGATGGTAACACAGTGTATTGTGGATAACACTGAGAAAATTGTTACCTTCCTCTAGAAATTGCTTGTGTGAAGTATATGAAAAAATTTCATCCATTTCTGCAGCATGAAAAATAAGGAAGAGTGATGGAAAGTGACACTGAACTTAGAGCTGTGTGAGAATTGCTCAGATACCAGCCCAGACACCTGGTAATGCTGTTGCACTTATGAACACAATAGTTATTACCTTTTCATGTAGTGATCTGTTACCATACTGTAGCCTCACAGCACATGTAATTTGTAGATTTTAGATTCATTCCACAAGTGGGTGAACTGAAGCACAGAACTGTTAAAAGTGTGTAGTAAAGCTCATAGATTTCATACTGTAAGTAGGCTTGTTAAGGAGGAGGCACATGGCTTGTGTTGGCTGCTACTCATTCTCTACTCCGAGAATGAGTGCATGACTTGCTTGCTGCTTTTGAACTTGCTCTTTTATTCCAACACACTCAGAGGCTTCACTGAAAATTGTCTCGGAGTTACAAGAACTTGAAAAGAGAAGGTGATGTTCTTGATCTGACATTTAGGTGAGGCACTGCCATTTAGGTGAGGCATCTGACTTTAGGTGAGGCACTGCCATTAACTTTTTAAGGGGCTTTGACTTCAAGGAGCTTTGGATCAGGTCCTCAGTGAGGTTTGTGTTTTGCAGCCGGCCCAAAAGTCAGTGTGTTCATCTCAGCATGGCAGGTCTTTAAACACAAGACCAAATCCAGGGCAGGAACATCCCTTTCACTGTGTCTACCGTTATGGTGTCAAACTCAGGTCTTGATCTCTAATTTTACTTTAATTGAAATCACATATGTGAGTGAAAAATACTGATCATCTTTGCTGTCCTTTCCTAACTGCAGTGTCTGGAAGATCTAAATCATAACTAGATCAATATCTGCATGGCAAAACTCTCCCTTCTTTTTCTCCCTACTGGTGAATTTCCAACCATTACTTCCATTAAATGTCTACATGCAGGAAGAAAAAAACCCAACCCCTCTGTCCTTCCCATTTCTATTTGCTTTCTCTTTTTTTCCCCTCTTTTTCTTATTTTCAGGTGATTACTCCAAAAATGCACTTGCTCAGATACTCTTTAGAGTGATACTGTTAGCACACACTTACTAAACAAGCTCAGCTTCTCACAGCAGCTAGCCCTTTAACAGTTGTTTCTTGTACCTTTAGTCTTATTAACTCAGTAACTGGAAAAAAGAGAAAGGTAAATGCAGCATCAGACTGTGGGTTATGCCTGCAGTGAAGGGTTAGGCATGTATTTTCCATGGCAGCCTGCAGAGAGTCATCCGAGTCTCTGAGGATGTTTTATGTTGTCTTCATAATGGATTCTGTCTTTGGTTAGTTTTCTGACTGTCCTCACATTCTTATTTGGAGAAAGGGTTCACATTATACTATCCCTTAAGCCATGCTGTGAAGAATTCCTGCACCATGGGATGCCTCAAGCCTCAAGTTCTGCGTCCTTTGGTGACGGAGGTTGCTGCCACAAAAGGCTCTCTACGAGACAGGGACCTTGAGAAAAAAAATCTGGCATCAGCAACTATGTTGTGAACTTCCCATCACTGGAGTGCTTGGCAGTTGCTCTGCTTTGTTAGTCTAAATGTCGTCCAAAGGGGGGATCTGGAAAGTGGGAGCAACAGCATGAGGATTATTCTTAAACATTATAGCCTAGGTTGGGATTGATGCAAAGAAAGTGAAGAGGAACGTGTGAAAGGCAACTGACGATAGCATAAAAGATCTGTAAGTGAAATTTCAGGGGAAATTCTGTGACGTTTAGGGGAAAAAATTGACCTGAATGGAAGAAAGAAACATCAATAAAGAAACAGCTGATAACCTTAATTTAAAAAAAGAAAAAGGTACTTCAAACTAAGCAAGTATTTTTGCTGTGAGCAATGATTTTACAGTATAATGTGAAGCAAAACTAGTTTTGAAACACAGACTCAAAAAGCTCAAATTTTCTATTTTCTTGGCCTTGTTATTAGACTAAAATAGTTTCCACAGGCAACAGCTTGAAAAATCTTACTTATAGCACCAGTAAGCAAGTGGCGTATGTTTTTCAGGTGGTTATTCCCCAGTGTCTTCTTATCCCTCCTCTTCATGTCTATAGAAGACTCAGGGAGTCCTTCCAGGCCTTTTTAAAATGAAATTGTTTTTCAGAATCATGGGCTAACAGATGGAGAGGAGCTGTTGTCTTCAGCTAACTAAAGTAAACATTGTTGAAAAGAGTTTAGGCAGTAACTCTGCATAATCATGCAATTCGGTCATCTTTCAGTTGAATTTCATGGGATTGCATAAACCTGTGGATGTACCTGACCAGTCTTCCTGTGCTCCTGCTGTGTGCTGCATTGCATCTTGGTAACCTTGCACAGACCTGCACCTACATGAAGAACATGAATGGAGCAAATAAGAGACCTTATTCTCACTCATGGGCACCTGAAGAAGAGGGTCTGGCCCTGCTCTGCTGGCTCACAGGCAGGAGCTGTTGTGTGTCAGTGCCTCCAGATGTCTGAAAGCACTCTTCCTGTTGAGGTGGGTGATGACCTGTGTGTAACACTGACCACAGGAGGCAGGGGGACAGGCTTTAGGTGGTGTTTTTCCCAGGATCAACCAGCTTCAAAGCTGGGATTTCTCCATGTATTGAGTCAGTCTTCAATGACACAACAATGTTGGGCATTTCCTCACCATTCTGCAACAGTCCTGCATAGATGGGTGTTGGTAAAACCTGACTTGTTGTCTTTAATTTTTCAAATTCCAAATCCCCAGGCATGAATGGGGGAGAAAAATATCATATGGAGCTGAGAAACATGTGAAATAAAATTTCTCCAAAGTCAGCTAGAAAATCCAGATACTTGCTCTGGGTTATGCTTTAGACTAACAGTTAACATGCTCTTGCTGCCTGCTTCGTAATTTGTCGGGAACGGGAAGAAGAATCCAGACTTGGCAAGCCGGTGCTGCAGACAGATTTTGTCACATGAAATCCCAGTAGACACTAGGCCAACATCAACAGCTCCTGAGCTATCACATGGGAATGCGCAGGAAGATAAAACCAACATCCGAAGGGGTGGAACCTCTATTTTAAGGGGCAAAGAAGGGAATCTGGCTAATGTAATTTCTTTTTACTTTTCTTTGTGGAGTTGTTCAGAGAAATGATGGAAAACGCTGGTTCAAAACACAGATACGGTTATGTCTTTTCTTGAATTCTTCAGTTACAGTTGCTTAACTCCTCTCCCTTGCCTTCTCCTTCATGTGAAGAGAGGTTAATCCTATCTGCCTTTACCTCAGAGGGATTGTAAGGGCAGAATTTGGAAAAGAATTTGCTGTCTATGTAAAGAATCCACAAGTGATTGCAAGGGAAAAAAAAAAAAACAGACCTGCCGTTGGGAAACTCCAGCACCAGTCAACTACTTTCTGGAAGTGGAGTGTTCCGTTACATAAACATCCTTGAAGCTTTGCAGAAGGGGTGACATTCACATGTAGAGCCTGACTAATTGGGCTTTGTGTGTGAAGAATGGGGATGGAGAGAATAAGGAAGTGAAATCCCCAAGGTGCAAGCTGGGCCTCCTTCTTCCCATGGCCTGTGCTGCTGCTTACGTGTTGAAAAGGGGTCTTGCTGCCTCCTGTATCACTGAGCTGATGACCGGGAACTCTGTGGGCCCCCACAACCCAGCCTGCATCTTCACTCTGCCCTCCCCTGCAGTCTGGGACGCCTCCTGCTCAGCCCAGAAGCCAGCTGCAACAGCCTCCAGCAGTCACTCAGAGGGCATCCCTCTGCTCAGAAGTTGTTAATGCCCCTTCATACTAAAACCCGCATTAACTCAGCAGTCCTGGTCTATTTATGCATAAACAGCATGCAGACCACATAGCACTTGGCTGCTTCTACAGTGAGAATAGGGGGCTGGCAACTTCAGGAGCTCCAAATTGCTCTCTGGAGGAGTCTGCACCCTTCCACTGATTATGTGGAGAACCAAAATCCATAGTTACTGCTTTGACGGCAAAAGTTAGGTGGCCCCAGCACTCCTCCATTCAAAACTCACATGAGACCCAGGTGTAGCTCTCCCACAGTCCCAAAACTTGTGGCAAAGTGGAGCTGCATCATGAGTTGAAGGTCACCACTTTTGTTCTGCACACACTTTGTAAAGCTTTGTCACTAGTCCCAGGCAAAGAAAATAATTCTGTTTCCTCCACCATCTCTTAGGGAAAAATACATAGAGCAGCCATTTAAATAACTTGATAGTGGCTACTACAAAATTCACAGTATATTTTGCTATATTTTATGACAAATGCAGAGTGATGGTCTGCAGGTTTTCCATTCTGCTGTACCCAAGAGTACTCAAAGGATATTCAGTGTAACAGGTCAGATTCAGCAATTGGGGTGGTAGTAAAAAAGGACAGATTCACTGGCTCAAAGAGCTAGTGCTGAACTGGTAAGGAAAGAGTAAAATCTGAATTCCCAACTCTTTTTCTTTTCACAGCTGTTAAGGGTTCAGTGGGTTGAACTGCAATCCTTCAAGTTCATCTGTTGACTCCAACACAAAACTATTATAAACTGTGCCTCTAAAACACGTGATGAAACGTTTCTTTAGAGCTATTTATTCCAACTGCAGCAGAGGAAAGTTTTCAGAACACCCGGCATTTGGTAGAGGAAAGGTCTCTTGAGCTTTGCACAAGGACGAATTATTTGCATACCAACGTAAGTTGCTTTTTGATTATTTTTTTTCCCCTGAATCATTGAATAAAATAATGCTTCTAACTTTTCTCCCCTTTATGGAAGAATGGTCAAATAGAACAAAACTATGTTTAAATGCCTAGCAGAGTATTTCTATATAGGTTTTTTTTTTCCTTTAATCATGTGGGGTGGGTGTTTTATAATTCAGCATAGAACTCTGATGTGATTTAATATGCATTTTCTTTCCTCTAATGTTTTCTGTGTCTGAAGAACAATTCATTCAATTACAGTAGTAAAGCAGAGTTATGATAGACTGCAAGCTCCAATCAGGTGTGTGTTTTGTAAGATTACATATTACAGGCAGAAAGGAATAATTTGGGGTATCTTTTTTCAGATGTTTCTTTTAAATCTTTGATCTGAAGTTTGACTTTACACATACATACACATTCTCCTCCAGGGTTTAGCTTCTCCATGCTGAAAATGGACCATGCAAACATGACCCAAGCCATGCTTGATGCTGAATCCCGCAACACAGACAAGAGCAGCAGTAATGAGTATTTTTACATTCTGATCGTCATGTCTTTCTATGGGATCTTCCTGATAGGGATAATGCTTGGCTACATGAAATCCAAAAGAAAAGAGAAGAAGTCCAATTTGCTTCTGCTCTACAAAGATGAGGAGAGAGAATGGGGGGAAGCTGTGAAGCCTCTACCAACCATATCGGGGCTGAAATCTGTCCAGATCCCCATGATGCTGAACATGCTGCAGGAGAGCATGGTGCCATCCCTGTCCTGTGCCATCTGCTCAATGGAAGGCAGCAGTGTGAGCTCTGAATCTTCCTCCCCAGATGTGCACTTCACCATCCAGGAGGAAGTGCTGGATGCTGAACTGGGGGAAGTGTCAGAAATGCTCCTCAATGAGAGCAGCGAGGGATCTGCGGAAAACATCCATAAGAACTCCTAGCACTTGCAGGGCTCCCTTGATCAGCTGCCAAAGCGTGAGTGGAGCTCCCACTAAGAACTTTTGGTTCTACTTTCCTGTTCTCCAATGAACTCTGAACCAGGTAGCTGTGCCTCTGGGCCCAAGGTGCTCCTGAGAGCTGGCAGGACAAGAAGCAGTGGTACCCAACTCCAAAGTGTAACTTGCACGTAATTGGGATGCTTAATTTCAAGTTTTCCATTATTATTTCTTACCATAAAAGCTAAGAACAAGGAGAATATATATATTTTGTAACAAGGTAACTATTACTGGCATGTTCCTTCATATTTTGGAATTCTGCAGATATCTGGGGAATGTTTAGGGAAGTTACTCTAACACAAGTGCCTGGTTGTTAAAGATGATGGATAATGCTTATTCACACAAAACTGTGATAGACTAGAAGTATTTTTACAGTGTTTTTTTTTCTATAACAAACCACAGCCAACAGGAGATTTGCTCAGAGGCCTCAAAAGTTGAAAATCTGTTGATGCTGTAGTTGAAGGAAGATTGTATCATGGCTGGAGACTGACCAGCACAGAAAGAATGAAAGAAAAAGAGGGGAAAAAAAAAAAGAAAAGGAAAAGGGCATCAAATTCCTAGGAGATTTCTAAAGCTCAGTTTCAGATCTATGCCACTATATCTATCTTTGCTTTAGTTGTACCTGTCCTGGCTGGGTCAGGTTCACCAACTTCTGCTGCAATACAGCCTTTGACTGAGCTTCTGGTAGGAAAAGAGGTTTTGTTTTTTGCTTTTGTAATTTTAAAGATATGTACATTTGATCACTAAAGGCATATATCTGTAAGTTAAAGAAGACATTAAAAGATCTTTGTTACAAGGTGTAAGATGTAGAAAGGCTTGAACAAATGCTGCTCTGTTACGCCCCCTTGAAAAAATAGGTGGAATTCAGAATAGAATTTAACCTAATGTCCTGGGTTCAGCAGTAGCTACTGCTGAACCCAGGACACCTAGCAAGGGAGAAATTCTGGCCCCACTGAAGTCGTCAGCTGAGTCTTCCTGACTTCAGAGGACATGCACAAGATTTTGTGCTTCTCCATTGGAGTTAAATCCTCCATTTGTGGTCAGTACAACTGTACCCATTTACATTGTTAAAGAAGCTAGACTTTCTGCTCTATTTAAGCCAATGTAGATAAACATTGCATTACTATTACATTTTTTTAACAGCTCGCATTCGACAGATGCATTTCTATAAAGTCATTAGTAACTAGTTTTTAAAACCACCACAAACTCCCCCTTCTAACTTAATGGTACTGTGATTTTTTTTTAAATGTTCATGAAATTAGTTACTAAATTATTGCACTGTTAAAAGAAGTAAGAGTGAACATAAAAAAAATAATATTTCACTTGTACCTTATATTTTATGATAACTTATTGCAATGTTTGGATTAGTTCTGAAGCATGAGGGCTGAAGAGCCTGAATCTAAAGCTTTGCACAGCAAGATGTTTGCAAAATGTCTTCACGTATTTCCTGCGCTATAACGGCTCTGTGATTTACTCATTTGCAGTAAAGCTTGAGAGACAGCTTGAAAAATATGAGTGCTGAACAGCAGAAACATACTGAGGCAAGATCCTAATGTACTTCTGCTGTTTAGTAGGAAGAGCTCTGCTTTTGGCTCGAAGAGTTAATATGATGTAGCCTGCAGAGGTATCGCTGTCTGTCTCATCACAGCAGAACAAAGGCTCCATTGTGCTCAGAAAGGGCCTGATTCGGTTCAGACTGAAGGCAGTGGGATTTTTTCCATCGACTTCAGTGAACTTTGGATCAGACCATATAAAGCTTTTTGGTAGATTTATTCCAAATGGGACTGTTTTAAGTTTGAAAGAAGCCAAATTGAGTTTGGCGCTTTGCCTGGAATCACTTGAATCCTGAAACTTTCCAAATGAGACTGACATGCGCAAGTTGTCACATTTTCCATTGTTTTCTCATTCGTCCTTTTGGTATAAATGTATTTGTATCTGTAAAAAACCTGATGTACATAATTCCTAACGTTGAGTTGTATATAATTGTCTTATGTATTTAAAGTTTATTGTTTCTACTGGCACTAATTTTTATTTAAATAAAGAAACACGGTTCCTGGAAAAGTTGCAATGTTTGTTCACTATCTCAAGTGGATTTACAGTAGTGAAGCTGGGCAAAATTCCTACAGGATCCTTAGCCTCTTTTTGAAATGATTCCTTGTGTTTGACTGGGGCTGAACACAGGGCTGAGCCAGGTGCTCCAGATATGCCTTGGCTCTATGCTGGCTCTTCTATGCTGGGCAACTTCTTAGTACTCAGCTCCAGCCCATATGCAGGCAGGGCTGCAGCAATACCCTGAGTGCTCCTGCGAAGAGCTGGTGGTGCTGCAGAGCCGTTGAGGAGGCTGGCAAAACTGAGCTGTTATGAAACCTTTCTTGTCACTTACCCAGCTTCTTGACAAGTCTGTGTTTTGAGTTTTGGTTTCAAATTTACGTTGTACCAAATTGGGTGGGCTAGGGTTAAGGTTATGGGCAAGTTTCTGACAACAATCCTGTTCCCCCTGGATTTCCAGTACATGGCTATGGTGCATAGCTGGCTTTGTCACAAGTTTAGACCCTGTTGTGTCATATCCAACATTAGGGTTAGGGGAGGTTTTGGGATTCTGGCTCCCAATGCAGGGCAGAAGTGTTTAGAGGCAGCTTTGCACTTCCATCAAGCTGTGTTGGTATGTATAGGGTCACAGGCACTGTCTGAGACCTACTTGCATGGGGTAATTTGAGGTTGTTTCAAAAATTAGGGTGCTATAAAGTTGTATCTGCTTGCTTTCCCACAAGAGCTGTTCCCCTGTGCTCTGCTCTCTTCACTCACTCCCTAATAATAATTCTGGAGCCTATTCACAAGCTTCTATGGACCTAAAGCTACCCATCAGCAAGGCTGTGTTTCCCTCCAGCAATTTAATCTCCCGGGACACCAACAGTGTCCTGGAATAGTGGGTCAGTAATGTCATATCTTCCACATTTACCCATGCTGCTGTCTTGGTGTTTCAGTGTTTCCATTGCCACAATAATGAATCAAGAGATTTCTGACAGCACTGATGATAAGAAGGAAAACCAGCATGAAATGTCAATTATAGTGCTGCTTTATGAATCAAAAGCTAGCTTATTCCAGCAGTTTCTTGCATTAAATTGAGCTATAAAGGGAAACACTGTGTGCTTTGGTGTCTATCTACACTGAAGTGACCTAGTAAGCATGAAGATGTGACTACCTCCTTGCAGACTGTGATGAAGCTATCCTTGACCCATGGGATTAGAGAAAGCCTGATAGTTCGGTATGTATGTGTCTTTGCCCTACGGCACTTGTCTTTGCTCAAATTAGTATTTTGATGGCAGCAGGGGAAAAAAAGAAGCAAAAATATGTTTTAGCTGTAAAAGTGAATCGGATGTGCAATTGAATGCAAGGTTACCTTGAAGACAGCCCAGTGACCCAGAATTACCAGGTAGCTATTATTCCAAAACAAAAGAAGCCTTGTGAATCTTGAAAAGCTACAGATAGAAAGAATAAAATTTCCCCCATTAAGCTTGTTTCAAAATCCTCCTGACTACTGAGGAGTGAAAGGTAATAATTTGTATTTATTATATTTACTTCTTTTTTTTTAATGACAGACATATCCAGTGTGCTTCAGGAACTGAGTCAAATCAGATCCAAAGCTAGTAGATCTTGGCTTGAGGGCAATGACAATTGACTGGTTAAGGCCAGGAGCCTTGTGTGTTGCAACTCATTGCAACACTTCTCTCCACATCTTGGCCCTCTCGTGGTGGGTTCTCCTGGATCTGTTCCTCTCCCAGACATGCACCCACACCTACCCAAATAATCAAGTAATTCTCACAGGACTGGAAAAGAAGGAAATGGATAAACTGTAGCAGTCATTTTAGTTTCTAAGTCCTCAGAGCATGATGTTGGACAAGGGTAGGTGTACTGCTCAAGGACAAGAAGCACACGTTGCCAACACAGACTGCACTTCAATCACAGCCGTTTCAACCAAGAGAAGATTAAACCACTTGCCTTTAATTCTAATCTAAAACTTTCAAGACCCTACAGAGGTAGAAGGGAGTCCATGTAACATGGTAGATGAGCATTTTCAGAGGTACTCAAAGTGGGGTGCAGGACAGTACGGTGGATTGCACTAGATGTAATTGTGCCAAAGCTGGACCATGGTCTCCTATGCTTGTCAACCTACCATGCTCATGTTCCAAAGTTTTTGGGCCTTGTTTTTCTCATATGAAGATGATTTCTCCCTGCAGTCACAGTTGCATTTTAGATTTAAAATAAGAGTTTGGGATCTAAAAGGCATACAACTTAATGAAATTGCTTATGCTATTGTTTTCAAAGCACCGACCATATTTGCCTCTGTGTATTTGGTTGACTTGCTTTTGTATTCATTCCATTTTCATGCAACTCTGCAGTTCCTACTGCTTAAAGCCAAAAATAGCTGCGAGATGAGTCACTTTCTTAATGTATTGACACTTCTGTATCCATCTCAACTGGGACAGAAAATTGTAAATAATACAAAATCAATAAGCACCAGTTTTTTTTTAAAGCTTAATTTTGTTTCAATTCAGGTTTGGGTATTAGGCCAGGTTAGACTGAGGCTTTTGCCATCTAAATAAGTGACTGGAAGAAGGATAATAAAGGCTATTGAACGGTGCATTACAGGCTATGCTCCCATCTCTCTCCCTGGCTAATCTGTTTAACTGTCCTGTGTTTCACTCGATTATTAGATGATGCTACTTATATTCCCATCTGTGAGAATATGATGTGTTCTTGATAGACACAAAATGCTTGTGATTCCTAGAGAAAGACAAAGTATAAATACAAAGCATTTGCCCACCTAGGAACAATAATCTCTTTTGTCTTCGTTAATACTATTAGGTGCTAGGGTAGCCTCTGGCAACAAATGACAACTGCTAGCGTCTGTGACTATCTGTAAGAATACAGCTCATCCCATTTGATCTCCTCAGGTCAACAGAAACCACATAACGGCCTTTTTACTTGGTTGATATGAAAGAGGAGGTGATGGTGAGCAGGGCAGTAGCCCTGTGACAGGGGAGGCTAAATTGAGTTTTCTCTCTTGCTCCAGGTTCACTGTGGTGCTCTGGAAAATTACTTGCTTTGGCTAAGACTCTCATTTATAAACTATAAAGAAGAGCACATCTTCACCGCCTAAGGCTGATGTGAGAATAACTACACTGAGAGCTTCAGGGTGCTGAGCTCTGACAGAAAGTGCGAAAAGGCAGATGAGCTGGTACTCTTTGTTCTTGGAGAAGGAACCACACAATTATAAGAACTTCCTCCGGTGTGAACTCCAGCTGTTTAGTCATGGCCAGTATATGATGCCTCCATCCCCTGCAGTTTACCTATGAGTGCTGGGCCTGAAGCAATCCTGCTGTGGTGCTTGTTCCCAGCCTAGCCCTCCCTGGAACAGCTGTGTCTCATCCCAGCAATGAAAATGTTAGCTGAACATTGCAGGCAAGAGGATGTGAGGCACACAATGTTCGCAAGAGGTTTTGAATTCCATCCTGGTG